TAATATTATGCTGAATATTCAATGATGTATAATCGGGGTAGAATAAAAACTATATCCCAAAAAAGAGATAAATAAAAAAGCTTATTCTATATTTTAGTTCGTAATTTAATTTTTATACACTAAGAAAATGTGTGAGGTAAATACACAACCCACACATTAAAAAGTGCTTTTTTAACAGAAATTTCTAAAGTCTGAGAATTGTTATTTGCTTTCAAAGAAAGCAATAGATTGCTTATTTTTATCCTGATAAAAGTAGGATGGCTCAGTGGACAAACAATAGGAGTGGAACTCACCAACTCCCGATCTGATAGATCTGCAACTAAAGTGCTGCATATTCTTGGGCATGTCATTGAACCTCTTCCACATTTGTAAAATATGTAGGAAAATGCTGATAATCAAAGGAACATCATGATGATTAACCAATGAAACTATGGTAACGCCTTCTAAAAAGTATTACTAAAATTAAACTGAGACCTAGAAACAATGATCAAACCCAATAGCAAAGAGTATCCCAGGTCCCATACTGGGCTTTCCCACTGTAGAAACCAGGGCTCCTTGGGAAAAACAACTGATTCCAGGTCTGCAATGGGCAGTGTACAAGATGAACTGGAATAATCTTGTCATACCAAACTGCAAGGAAGCTATCAACTACTACCATGGTATATGAAGGCTGGAACTATTTAAAACTGCAATGATTTAAAACATCAACTATGTTTAAATCTATGAATTCATAATAATACCTTTAAAAAGTGTATTAGCTATTAGCCGTCTTTGAAGGACACTACTAACTCAATTCTTTTGAAAACATAAACAAAAAAAAAAGGTAGAAGAGGCAGGGGAGAAAAAGCAGCATTTATCTTGCTTTTCCTACACACAATGAAATATTGGATAAGCAGAAATAGATGAAGGAAAATTTCCCTTTTAAGGTAATAAAAAATGAATGATGGAATGTCACCAGTTTGTAATTCCTAACAGTTGCTAACATGCCTCCTGATGGAAGAACACACCACCACCCATGAAATAATCTTGCTCATCACTATTATATTTAAAACACAACATAAAGCAAACAACCAGACACATGTTCTAATCTCATCAAGCCTCTGGTCAGATGTGCCTATGAGAAGTTTCTGCCGTGATGGAAAGGCTCTGTATTTGCCCTGTCCAATATGCAAGGCAGAAGCTTCACATTGCTATTGAGCAGCACTTGAAATGTGGTTACTGCAACTGAGGAATTAAATTTTTAGTATTATTTAATCCGAAAAATTTTAATAGCCATATCATACTAGACAGCACAGTTATACATCCAATTACCAATTGCAGCAAATTAAGAGGACAGAGGTATAATGTGTTAAGCAACACCACAAGGGTGCATTCAGCAAAATCTACACTGTAGGAAAACTCAAGAAAAAAATTAACTTCTTTAACAAACAAGTTGAAGAAAGGAAAAGATGGAGGAAAAACCTACAGATTAAAAGTCAGTTAAATGATATATCAACCAAATTAAAAGTATAGATTTCATCTGGATCTTCATTTGAACTTCAAAAACAAAAAGAAAAAAGTGACGTTTCTAAGATGACATTGTTTGGTATTAAGAAAGTATTTATGTTCAGGTGTGGTGAAGTTATTATGGTTAAGCTCTTTTGAATATTAAAATATTCATGGGTGAAATAAGTGTGATGTTTGGGATTTGCTTCAGAATAACATGGCAGTAGAAGGAAGCAGGTAAAAATATAGATGAGTTTGGTCATGAGTTAAAAAATCACTGAAGCTGGATGGTGGGCAAATGGATGATCATTACGTTATTACATCTAGTATTGCAGAGGTTTTAAATTTTACATAAAATGTTTTTCAATAAGCTAATGTGATTCTCTTCTTACCAAATATTTTCACAATGTGCAAATTAATGCATCTCCATCTTAAAGGGAAAAAAAGTTTAAATATACTCAACTTATTGCCTAATAATAAAAAATACTGTCCTTTTGACTAAGAATTTCATAGTAAATTAAAAATTTCAAGATGTTTTTAAAACATAAAACTTGAGCACTTACCATTGGGGTTAAATAATCGGCAGCTTTTTAGAGAGGTTTCATAACCTACTACTAATTCTTCTATGATTGCCACCTAGAGTACAAACACACAAGCACACTTTAATTTAAAATATATATATATTATATATGTATAGATATAGTTATTACTTTGTGCAAAATGTGTTATTTACTATTAAAGGGCTAAACGAACATTCACACACACACTTTTATAAATCTCTTAACCTATGCATAAAAATTTAAAAGCAAGTAAACCATATTTTTGAAGGTGTGTATTAAGACTTAACTTTCTAGAATCATACTGACAACTCCTTTCCCTGCTAGAAAATTTAGTATCGAGCTGAACTAGAAATCAGGAAAGGGTTAGACAAAAAGAGGTAATATGTAGATTGTTTTTATCTTGGCTCATTTTTATCTCAATCTAACATAAGTAATATCCACAATTTGCATTTGCTCGTCAGGAATCAAGGATTAAATACTATGTGAAAGGAGAAACTCCGTTAAGTAGATGATGCATCAACTCTCAATTTCATAATCCCAGAGAAAGCTAAGTACAACTGACACATGGACCAGCGGGTGGGGTTCTGAGGTTCAGGAGAATGAGTAGCTGTCCAGGTTCGGGTTTCTCCTGGGTCATGACTATACTACTTGCTCCTGGCTTCCTAAGAGATCTGTGAAACTTTTAATTTATTAATCCCCTTCTTAGCTTAATCCATCTATAATGGATTTCTGTTACTATAGAAGCTCTCTTAAATGACTCAACAGATTAACACCAGCTCTCTCCATGACCTCAGATAACTGTGAGGACTGAATGGTCACAGCTGGATTACTCTGGTG